TTCCAGCGGGTGAATTTGAACCTTCATGGACAGATCACCGTTGGCGACTTGAGTGATGATACCACCGATTTCACGCAAAGCTTTCTGGAAGGCCTCGTTGGCCTGCTGGTGCTTGCGCAACTCACGTTCGAGAAGAACGACATCCTCATTTTCGACCTTAGTAAGAGCGCGGCGAGTGTGCTCTTCCTGTTTTTGCAATTCGTCGCGCACCTGAGCAATAATATCCTTTTGGCTGCTTATCTCCTCGGCCTGCTTTTGTACGTGGTTGCGGAGGAAGCTAATATCTTCCTCCCGCACGACACGGGTGCCGTTATCATCTTCATCATCGGATTCGTCGTCTATTTCTCCCAAGGGTGGTTCGTCGGCCGCGGGGACCGGGATCGCTTTTTGCTGCTGTGACAGAGAGTCAGAATCTTGACCGGACGACAAGCGAGAGAGCCCAAATGTCCACAAGAAATTCCTCTCGTTGGTCTCTTCAGCAGACGGAGTGATCTGGTGGGGGTCCGCCTGCTGTTGGAAATTGTGGTGACTGACAGCTTGGAATTCCAGATGGTGCACGCGGCGCACCAGGGCCTCAAGCTCGGCTTCGAAGGCTGCCTTGGCGGGACTATGTTCTCCGGGAAGTTTGGCCGATTTGTTACCGTTGGATAACTGGAAATCAAATGGGGGCGAAGAGGAACCGGGGATAGATTCGTCTCTTGCCAAATTCTGCAATACGGCAGTCGCGGCCACGAGTGTCTCGTCCGCACTAGCCATCGTGGCCTACATAAGTTAGTTCATAGTACAACTAACATCAATCCCCTATTGTAGTACCAGCACCCCAGCTGAGATTTATGGGATGGGGTAGGGTATCGAAGATAAAGCTTAAAAGGATCACTCACTGGAATGTCTGGATCCTGACAGGATGACAGATATATAGTCTAATTAAGGCGACATGAGGGGGGAAAGTCCAAATAGAAGACAGGAATGAATAGAACCCGAGTCGACCGGGGATAAATATGAAAGGGAATATGGAAAGTCGGGAAGGGGGAAAATAGGTGGATAAGCCTTGGGAGCCCTGGAGAACGCGGTTATGTAAGCCACCACTAGGATGGCTCTGCGGGGGAGCAAAAGACAAAAAGGGAGCTTAGAAACAGCAAAAAAAAAAAAAGAAAGATCATCCAAAGGTTATCAAATCAAAATAAAAAAAGGAGGTTCAAGGATGAGAAGAGAAAAGCGGGAATTTGGATTGGGGGGGGAGGGGGGAAGAGATTTTGAAAGGGGCGGTGATATGTCGCCTCTTTGGGGTTTTTGTTGGTTTTTTTGGGGGGGGTATTTTTTTTATGTCTCAAGTATTTTAGTTATGTTGTATGTTGTACGGAGTAGAATCTATAAATTGCTTACAAGCAGATTAAAAAAAGATAAAATCAAATCAAATTGGGCGTATTTTTGCACATTTACCCTAGAGAATCATGCCCAGGTGACTGGATAGGGTGCACGGACTGATCTATTATAGTTTCATGGGTATATATATCCCTGTGGTACTCCGTATACTGCATCTACATAGAAAAAACCATTATAGATGTATCTATACTATCTACTAAGTAATCAAGGTACCCTACAAAAGTATATCAATACCAAATACTCCATTCCCGTTTCATATCTAAGTAGGGAAGGGATCGACTCTGGGACTAGTGTCGATCACAAGGTGGCTCCGGTTCATGGTTTCGCTGCTCAATAGTTTAATTCCATACCCTTTGAATGGGAAATTATCCCCCTCATCTCATAATTTCCAGAGGGAAAGATAGGCGAGACAGAGTTTGCAGAACAATTGGCTGGGATCCAGTGGGATCCAGTTGAAGTTAGTCTGAGCCTATAAGAAACCAACGAGAATGTCTCTTCCTTAGGGTACTGCCACAGATCCATAGTTTGATTTTCATCGCAATTTGCGTCTTTTTGGTGGCTGAGCCGGGCTTAGCGTCTCCCGTTCTTGGCCGAGGTATTCCTAACGTCTATTGGTCACATGGGAACCTCGCGAGGGAGAATGTGAAGATGTTGGACTTTCGACAGTACCTGGATCACTACTCCGTATGTATTGACCATATGTTTCAAAATATATAAAATTATCAAGAGAGATGTAATGATAGAAATGATGTGTCTGCAATGGATGGAAGTTTATTTCATCTATACGAAAATTGAACTCCTCGAGGGGGGAAAAGATACCTAAAATATACAATGTTGTAAGGTAGTAGGTACATACCCTCAAGTGTTGGGATGATTGGTACATACGTAGTAAATGTGATAGATATGAGAATTCAATGTGTGTACCTTCGGTAGGGCACAAGTCAACTGGTCAAACAGTGAACAGTCAAATGGCGGGGTGGAAACGGCACAGATGGTCAATGTGCCTTGCCGTATTTATCTTTTGGAATCCCGCAGAGTCATAATTCTGTGAAATATTGTACGATCAAAAGAACGCCCTTCAAAACACCCGTCAAAAATTGACTCTGCAGGAGAAGGCTGCAGCCATGGCGTCCGACTTGACAAACCAGATTTTGGACGCCCTGTCCGCGTCCGATGCGCCCATCCTCTCCAGCGATGCCTTCCCCTCCACCCCCTCATTGAACGTTAAGAGTGCGCTCGACCGCCTTGATTCGCGCCAGATGGTCGCATATGAGACCCTAGAGAAGGAAATTGTAACCCTCACTGCTGAGGGTCAAGAGATTGCCGCCAATGGCAGTCACGAGGCCAAGGTCTTCGCCGTGGTTCTTGCCGCTATGGACGGATTGAAGATCTCCGACTTGCCCGGAATTGTGGGCAAGGAGAATGCCAAAGTTGGCCAAGGAAATGCCTTCAAGCGTGGCTGGATTAAGAAGGACAAGGATTTGCTGCGGGCATCCGCAGACTCAATTGTCGATGAGACGCAACAGCAACTGCTTGCGGTTGAAAAAACAAAGACTCTGGAGGATAAGAAGGTCCTGGCTGATCTCAAGCGGAGAAAGTTGATTGGTCTGGCAAAGCAGATTGCTTTCAAGATCACCAAGGGTCCCAAGTATGCCCGAGAATTCGTCAAGGAACAGACCGACCTCACCCCGGAGATGATCGCCAATGGCTCGTGGAAGACGGCGCACCTCAAGCCCTACAACTTCAATGCGAAGGGTGCCCCGACTCCATGTGGTACCCTACACCCGCTGAACAAGGTGCGCCAAGAATTCCGCAACATCTTCTTCGACATGGGTTTCGAGGAGATGCCCACCAACCGCTTTGTCGAGACCGGTTTCTGGAACTTCGACGCTTTGTTCGTGCCCCAGCAACACCCTGCCCGTGATCTCCAGGATACCTTCTACATCTCCGACCCTGCCGTGGCAGACGGTCCTCGCGAGGATCCCCCCAACGACCCCCACCGCCCAGCCCAATTAAAGTCCGAGAAGCCCCTCGACTACAAAAAGTACTGGGACAACGTCCGTGAGGTCCACGAGCACGGAAAGTTCGGTTCCATTGGTTACCGCTACCCCTGGAGCGCAGATGAGTCGCTCCGCCTGGTGCTCCGCACTCACACCACCTCCATCTCGACCTACATGCTGCACAAGCTGGCCGCCAACCCCCGGCCGGCTCGCTTCTTCAGTATCGACCGTGTCTTCCGAAATGAGTCCGTCGACGCTACCCATCTGGCAGAGTTCCACCAGGTCGAGGGTGTCATTGCCGACTTCGGCCTGACTCTTGGCGGTCTGATTGGATTCATGGAGGTCTTCTTCGCCAAGATGGGCATCCATAAGCTGCGCTTCAAGCCCGCCTACAACCCCTACACTGAGCCCAGTATGGAGATTTTCGGCTACCACGATGGTCTGGGCAAGTGGGTTGAGATCGGTAACAGTGGTATGTTCCGTCCAGAGATGCTGGAGGCTATGGGTCTGCCTAAGGACCTGAGAGTCTACGGATGGGGATTGAGTCTGGAGAGACCTACTATGATCAAGTACGTTGCATCACCTACCATTTTTGTTTCCCACTTACTAATATCTATTAGGTACGCCGTCAGCAACATTCGTGAACTCCTCGGTCACAAGGTCGATTTGAACTTCATTGAGACCAACCCGGCTGTCCGTCTCGAGAAGGATTAAACAGGGAAATACTCATAGAAAAAAAAGAACGTGCTTTTAGTTGTGTCTTGCTTGTGGGCTCTTCCCGCTTGTAATGAGTTTATGTGGAAGGAAACGTATTACATATCAACGATGGTCAGGATGTGAATAGAATACTCGATAAAAGAAGGCTCAAGTGTAGTCAATAAATGTAGTTGCAAGTAAAAAGACAAGATGTCAAACAGATGATATTCAGCATCGATCTAGCATGTGTCTGCAATGGATGTCCTGCCCGTATCTGTGCCCCAGCGCATGGATCTCTGCAACAGTGGCTCTTCAGCAGGTAGAGCTCGGAAGCATAATCTTCGGCAACGAAAAGTATTTCTACCTCCTCACTCATGGAGATGGAGACAACGAAGACCACGACCAGCGAACCAGTCGGGTTTTCGAGTCTACAAAGAACGAGGAGGTCTTGATATGCCAAGAAGGAAAAGGAAAAAGGAATAGGAAGCAGACAGAGACTAAGATATATATGAAAGGGATATTGTTTCGATTTTTTGGCATTGCTTTTTTTTGGCTTGTGCTTCATGAGGTTGGGTGGGAGTCTATCACAGAAAGAGAACAGGCGGGATTCGTAGAGAAAAAAAACCTGACCCATTAAGTCGTCGATATTCCATTCATTTCGAGAGATAGGTAGGAAAACAGGAGTTTCTCAGAGGAGAAAAAGAAAAAAATGAACTAAGGAACATAACTATATCCCTTGCGTCCTTTTTTGGTCTTGAAACCAACTCCCCGAACACGGACCATCAAGCCACGGTTCCTCTGCAGCGAATTAGCCTTCTTGAACAATGAAACATGCAGAATGTATGTAGATGACCATAACTTACCATCAAATCAACCCGTCAACACCACCCGGTAAAAAAAACCACATTGCTGCGGGATGATTTAGCGCTGGCTGGAGGCGGCCCAGACGTTCTTGAGGTAACCGTCACGCTGGGTCAGGCGGTTGAAGGAGTCATCGCTCTCGCCGCGGGCACGGATGAAGCCGCAAAGAGCGTAGGTCTGGTTCTCGCCGGTGTAGCGACCGTTCTCGTCAACCTTGCCAACGGAGAGCTGGACAGAGGCGTGGTCGTTGGCCTTAATGATGCGGTTGGTGGCGCTGCACTTGCGGGGCACGTAGCTGTTGAGAGGGAAATCATGTTAGTTGTCTGTGTTCTTCTTTGGGTTTTTGCGAATGAACATGTTCCCCTCCAATAGCCTGGTATGCCCTGGTTTTTCTGGTGGCTCGCCAACGATCGCAATCACGCGGCACTGGTGATTTTTTTTTCTTCAATCCTCGCACTCTCCGATCACACTGGGTCCATCTCTTTGGCTTAGGATCGAGGCGGGATTGCTGATTGTATGCGGCCACGCAGACACAGGGCACAGGGTATATTGGGACTGGGAGAACGGGTGTAAATTCCATGACACGTACAGATCGACGATCTCTCCCTTGTCGTTCTCCATTTTGGCGGGTTTGGTGTTGAGGTTTTGACGGGCGACGGTGAGGATGGAGGTGGAGGGTTTTTCTGCCGCACATTAAATTGAAGACCTCAAATGATTTGTGTGGGTCATGTGACCCTTTATCGAGGGCTGGCGTGGCCAAAGTGGGGTAGACGTGGCTTTAGTGGAAACAGTACTAGAGGCCGTGGCAATTTCAACTCTAATGTTCATATCGATTGCTGGATACAGTATGTAGGGCTGATTTTACTACGGGTAAATGTATGTATTTTACAGATTACTCTTTTCCCTCTCTTCCTGTAGCACATCCTTCTTCCATCCCACAGCCACCTCTCGTGCACTTCCTTTCTTGAACCGCACAAGAACCACTCTCTCGGACTCGCCTCGCTTCGAGGACCCTTTCAGCTCAGGCCCGGGATCATTCAGACCCAACACAGATCGCCCATCACGGGTCATGAGAAGCATTTTTGGAGATATGCATTTATCTGTCCATGGGGGAGAACCCGAATGAACGAACTCGACAAGCGCTTGACGACGCTTCTCCATCTCTTCCACAGAAGCATTTGCACGAGGCTCCCTGTCCAGAAATCCTGACACCAAATGCAAAAGAAGGAACTGCGGCGGGAATAGAATTATTTCAGCCTTTTGAGCACGACTTACCCACTCTGAGGCTGGAAGAAACTGTGCCTCCGTAACCTCGATTCCACCGTCGCTCGTTGGGATATGATGCTCTTCGTGTTCGCCTTCTGCTGGGAGTTGGTCGAGGAGCTTCTTATCTAGGTTGACGGGCAAAGGCAAGAAATATAGATACATCTGAGTAGTGTACCGCTTGGGGACATTCGTGGGGGTAATCCAGCGAGTAAAGGGAATCAGTTGGCCTGTAGAGTCAGCGTGCTGCTTTCAGGTCTCAATCACAACATACACAAACTAGGCACTTACCTATATCGGGCTCAGCATCAGCACTTTGCTGCTTCAGCCAATCATGAAAAGTGGTTTTGTTCTGATGAATGAGTCGTCTGCCTGCCTCTCGGGTAGGCTCGTCGACGGCAAGCATCTTCCCGGAGTTACGGTCTTTAGCTAGAAGAATTCCGCTCTCTTCAAAGAGTTCTCTAATCGCTGCACTTCGGTAGCTAGGGGAATCTTCATGCCGTGCTAGGTCTTCGGGTGGTGGGCATTCCCCATCTTGGCTGGATAGGTTGCCACCTGGAAAGACATGCGCAGATGCAAAGGAGGTAGATGTCTTCACGCGATGAAGAAGAAGGATCTCGTTCTTTGGAGATATAAGAAGCACGCTATAGAAGAGTTAGTTTGCTTCTCTTTTTTGGAATGTCTCCCTGTTGACATCACCAGTCATGTGGTCCCTTGCTGCTGGCTTACCTAGAACTAGGCCGGGGCACCGCAAGCTCACTATCGCGATTTGAGCTAGACATCTTCTGGGGATTTGAAGAAATTGTAGTTGTGTATTGTCTCAAAGCAGATTTACCGCTTGGGCGTTGAAGGGACTGAGCCGAGGCAATATGAGATGCGCTAGATGTCCGAAAAACAAGACCAAAAGCAGAACGATGACCCAATCGCCGTACCAAGTGACGAGAAAGATATTCTTGATAGATAAAGGACATTGTAAGATCTCCAAGCCGAGGAACGGCTTCTCAATATAGTAAAAGGTAACGACCCGACAGCCTAGGCAGTTCCTCGGTACCCCGCGTACAGCTTAACCTCTTCGAGCTTAGCCGAATGCAGCGCCCATGTGCTCGGGCAACCATCTACAAAGCCTCTACGTTACGTCTACAGTTGGAATAGATTTAGAGAAAAATAAAACGTGTTTGCTCATTACCAGAAATGGCGTAAATCTTCAAATCTTCAAATCGTAAACTCCTATCCTGTACCCTTATTTTAATTTTCAAGGCCTCATCATCTATCGGGGTGACCCCGACGATGTATTCACAAAAGTCCAGTCAACTCTTACAAAGCTTGGATCTTACGAGTAAAGCTTCTTGTCGTAGCTGTGGAGACCGTGGACGTTACCCTCGGTCATAGCGCTGGCACTTCTCATCTCGAAACGCACGGAGCCGTTGTTGACACCGTCGTGCATATCGGTCAGGCTCTTGACACCAATGTCCTGCAGGGAGTGCTGGACACCGGCAATGAGGTAAGGAATGAACTTGGTGACGGATCCGCGGTCAAGGACGGAGCCAGCGACACCCTGGGCAACAAGGACGCGGTCCTTCTCGGAGAAGTAGCGAGCAGTACCAGCGTTGCTAGCCTTGCTGTCCTTTCCGTCACCACCAGCCTTCTTATCCTCCATGGCGGCGATACTGCCCATGCCACGGTAGGCCTTGACAAGCTGGCCCTCGTTGCTGACGTAGTACTCACCGGGAGACTCGGTGGTACCGGCAAGGAGACCGCCCATCATGATAGTGCTGGCACCCATGGCCAGACCCTTGACGATGTGGCCAACGTTCTGGATACCACCATCAGCGATACAGGGAACACCGAAGCGAGCGGCGAAGGTAGCAACGCTGCGCACGGAAGCAGCCTGGGGACGACCAACAGCCATGACTTCCTGGGTGATACAGGCACTACCGCTGCCCATGCCAATTCTCAGGCCATCGACACCGGCGGCAATCAAAGCAGCAGCCTGCTCACGAGTGACGACGTTACCACCGATAACGTCGATCTCGGGCATAGTCTTCTTAATGTACTTGATCATCTCGATCTGGTACATGGAGTTACCCTGGCTGGAGTCCAGGATAACAATGTCCAACCCAGCCTCGACAAGAAGCTTGAGGCGGTTCTTGTCCTCCTCGCGAGTACCGATAGCAGCGGCAGCGATCAGCTGCTTGGAGTCGGGGAGCTTGGAGGCCAGGGGGTAGTGAAGGTTCTTCATCAGATCAGAGCGGGAAAGCAGGGAGACGATGTTGCCGTTGGCATCGACAATGGGGAGCTTTCCCTTCTTGGACTGACGGAGGACCTCGTTGGCCTCGGCCAGGGTGGTGCCGGCCGGGGCAGTAACAAGATCCGTGGCCATGATAGCAGTCACGGGTTCGTTAAGATCAGTGTGGAACTGAATGTCACGCGAGGTAACCATTCCAACGAGCTTGGACTTGAGGGTTCCGTTCTCTATGTTCAAACATTAGCATTTGCTCCCAAAAGCTTATGTAAGGACAATATCCAAAATAGACAAATTGCTCAGGTAAAATCTGGTTCTCTACAGTGCAACTTTCGTTGCTGCAGTGGAACGAAAGTTATAATTAAAAGAGTTGGGTCATCATGCAAAGTGGGTGGGGGTATGTATGTGCTGGGATAAGTAGATGTGGGTATCTTACCAGTGACAGGGAAGCCACCGAAGCCCCACTTGGTCTTCAGCTCCTTGGCCTCACCAACGGTGGTCGTGGGAGAGATGACAACGGGGTCCAGAATGAAACCGTTCTCGTATCTCTTAACCTTGCGGACCATCTCAGCCTGATCCTCAGGGGAGCAGTTGTGGTGGATAACACCCAGACCACCGAGAAGAGCCATGTGGATAGCCATGTTGTGCTCGGTGACAGTGTCCATGGGGGAGGACAGAAGAGGGGCCTTCAGGGAGATACGCTTGGTAACAGGGGTATCCAAAGAGACATCGGAAGCGGGGAAGCCTATATGGGTCAGAATGAAGTTTTTTTTTTTTTTACCGCGGGGTTCGGCTTACCGATGTAACCGGGCAGGATCAGGAAATCATTGTAGGTCAATGCGCCGTGCTTGTCAGAGTCAAGCAGGGTATCCGCATCAAGGCCATCACGGGTGGTATAGGTCTCCAAAACCTCCAGAGCCTTGGCGTAGTCGGTGATCTCAGCCTTCATGGCGGCACCAGGTGCTGCGTCACCGGCGGTGATGGGCATGTTTGAAATAAGGAGGGATTAAAATAACGAGTGAGACACGACCCGAGGGAAAATCTTAATCAACAGAAAGAAACGTTCTGCTGATGGAGAAAGTCGAGCTTTCCCAAGGAAGAGAAAGAAGAAGAAAAAGGTCGAGCGAAAAATTGTTTCCTTTTCTCTTCCGTGCACGGCCAAGTCAGAAGGGAGCTTGTCTATTTCGAGTATAGCGTACTGGTTTTTTCACCGTTCGAACTTCTGATTGGCTCGTAAACGAGATCCCCGAGGCGGTGAGCTTGTTTTATTCTTGGCATCATACATCGATGCAGGTACATCGATACTACCATGTAGATGGTGCCAAGATCTACCTCAATAAAATAATGTAACGTTATTAGGTGTGACTCTGATATGCAATCCTCTTGTGAAGAAATATTTCATCAATAAGCTGGACAAAAATATCGATTACCCTACAGCACAGCTTTCGAAGTTAGGACATAGTGAAGGTCCAATGTCAGTTGGCTATAGTTGTCAAGATAGCGTTATTGATTCCGATAAATTCGTCGAATGAACCAAAGTTTATCTTTTCTTGACATGGTTGGCCATACAACGGATCAACAATCTCCCCAGTTATCGGCTTCAAGTCCCGTGCGCTTCTATAGAAATATGACGACAGAATGTTGGGGGAAAAAAACACGGCAAAAGCAGCATCTTGGAGGCTGCACAACTTTATCCAATTCCTCTAAGCATTACTTCGGCTATCAATATGGAATCTTCTATGGGTGAACATGGCGCCTTCAAGCCTGCACCGGCGGCACAGTCTCAGAACAAGCCGGGGTGAGTAATGTCTTTACCCGAGTGAAATACTACTACTAAAATGCCGTGCAAGATTGGAGGGCATAATGACAGAACCCAGTGAGTCGACCAAACTGGAAGGCCTTCATGTCTTTGCTGAATATGCGGGTTCCAGAAAACTGAAGGGCAAAAACGCTCTAATCACTGGGGGAGAGTATGTGTAGTAAGTTTGCAGGAACAAATTTACCTGGGCTGATCATTTCTTAGTTCCGGAATTGGACGGTCAGTTGCTATTCTAATGGCCAGAGAGGGTGCAGATGTTACTATTGTTTATTTGCCCTCGGAACAGCCAGACGCAGAGACAACAAAAAGGACCATTGAGCAAGAGAAGAGGGCTTGCCTTTTAATCCCAGGTGACTTGAGAGATCGCAACTTGTGTCGCCACACAGTGGATGAACATGTGAAGAAGTCAGCCTAGAGTACTGTTCCTGGTATTAGCGAATGACTAACCCTGAGAGTTGACAGATACGGCACGATCAACATACTTGTCAATAATGCGTCGAAACAGTACCTATGTGCGGAATTTCAGAATATCGATCTGGATAAGTCCGAAGACATCTTCAGAACCAACATCATCCAAATGATTGCGATGGCGAAGTTTTCTGTTCCTCACATGACACGAGGCCATTCGTAGGTGCTTTCTTGTCTGATCTATATCATCGTATACTCACGCATTTGCTGCAGCATCATCAATACTTCCTCCGTTATGACTTTTCGTGGCTCAGGGACCATGATTGATTATGCTGCAACCAAGGGAGCTATCATTGGTTTTACTAGGTCGTTGGCAACACACTTGATTCCCAAGGGTATTCGGTTCAATGCAGTCGCGTGAGGATAATCCATTCATCTTTCTTTGAACGTAGATACTGATAGGTCTCCAATTTCAGTCCAAGTGCGATCTATACGCCAATTCAAGTCGACACCCGAGATCCCCAACAGATGGAAGGATGGGGTCACAAGGATGGTCTTGGCCGACCAGGGGAACCTAGTGAGGTAGCGACAAGCTTCGTCTTCTTAGCTAGTGCGGATGCCTCTGTATACTGTGAGTGGTCAATACCACACAACTTGACATCATCCCCGTTTCGTTTTATTGTAGCTAATAGATAACTATACATGTATAGATGGGCAAGTGCTGCACTGTTACCCACTTGGTGACTAGATAGTCTTACAGGGAGTGGATCTACTGGTGGAGATGTCGCCGGAACATTGTTCTGGGGATGTGCTTGCAATTTGTATTAATTAAATTTTAACAGGGTATAAAATCAGTACAAGAGCCACGGCTTCCCTGCAATGAGAGCTTTGTCCCATCCCTCGTCATTCTGCCAGATGGCAACACTCTCAACCTCCTCTCTGCCCAGTTTGAGTCCATTGTATAGATGCTAGGCTTGATTTCAGCAGATTTCAAATTCAAATCGACATATTCAACTTACTGGGAAGAGTCCTTCACCGGGTCGAGGGCCAGACACTTTCCCGTCTGGGGACTCCCAGCGGATATCTTGGATCACGCGATGATACTCGATCCGCAATACATAGACAAGCGGTTCCTCTGTGAAAAATGCTTTCAAGGTGCCTCCCACCTGATGCGCCATCGAGAGGTGGATAAAGCCATCGGCCTTGTCCAGTTCGCTTACCGTGAGCCGCTCAGGAATTGGCTCACGGACTGGCGCGGTCGAAGGCACAATCTTATAGATGTAGCGTGGTTGAGAAACCAGCGAAGCCATCATGAAATTGTTGGAAAAAAGTAGGTTAATTCGCCGAGTCAATGGTGATAATGAGAAGAGAAACAAAGTTTGTCAGGTGGTTTCATTTGTTGGCGGGGTCGGTTCAACCGGCAACTTCCCTTTCGAACGCGCTGGGATTATTGCGCCATTTTTTAGAGTCGTCTAAATATCTACTTATTTTGTTCAATTTGAAGATATAAAGCAATTTATAATATATTGAATTTCATTTATGAGTAGTATCATCTATAATGTTGGGTTGATATAAAGACACGCCATGAATAAGAATTGCGGGGATATATTTCTGAAGGAGTATACATAGTTATACAACCAGAACTAACTAAAAATGCCCAACCGTGCTTTGAATACCTTTATCGGGCTTCAATGAGATTTATTACTTCAAGCCGAGCTCATTTTGCTTGATATTTTATTGTTATAGCCTAGGAGATTCATGGATGTCTTGTAACAACACAGATCTTAACATGAAGACAACAGTATTGAGCACAATGTCTATGGTGGAAAAAGTCCAAAACAGAGCCGAATGCCTCTCAGAAGTAATCAAAGCCCTAGCACACCAGCAAGAAGGAGTACGCAGATTCATATCAATTAGCGGTCTACAACGTATGTTGTACTTGGTGACTTCCAGGTTGGTAGCTGCCCAGGAGTGTTGGTCGCACGGGACTACGAGCCCACTTAGATTTGCCTAATTGCACAAGCCACTTTTGCCAAGACTGCAGGTATCTGATAGGTCCGATGTTGAGATAGGAAGGAATGTTCAGCATATCGAGCAATTTACCGCAAGGGACTTATGCGATTTCGAATAATTGCAAATGAATAGTAAGTAATAGATCCATGTCCAGGGTCTGACTGGTCGAGTAACACAATCTCTTAGTTATTAATCTCACGTGATATGAGATCGACAAGCCACAATCACCTGATTGCGCTATACCCGATCTGGAGATTTGTTGTGCCCCCTGCGCCCACTTTGGGGAATCTTGGTCGCACTTGCACCCCCACCGTCAACAATTCCATCATCGGGGATCCACGAGCCCAGAGCTTATTGATCCAAGTCGCACATCTACCGATTGGATTTTCGTCGCAGCTAAGTAATGGGAGGTTGCCCTTGAATGCTATCCAACCTAGAACGTCTCTCAGGAAAAGGTCTTGGAGACCTTGTTTAACCCGCGCATTCCGCATCTACCACCGGAGCAGGGATGCGGTCAAAGGAGCGCGACATTTTTCGATCCAATTTCGCATACCGTCCTGAGATTAAATGATGTCGACTCAATTTCCATCCCTCAAGCGGGCCCAGACGGACCTTCCCTCACAGTCCACCAGTCCACTACGACACGGTTCGACAGCGTCCACGAACTCGTCTGCATACTCCATCGCGTCAAGCTCGTTTGCCCCTAGTCGGACTAGTACCGTCTCCTCTAATGCATCGACATCAAACAAATTCGGTCACCTCCGAGGGAAGAGTGAGGCAAGCAGTATAAGCTCAGGAACGACTGTCACGGACGCAATGGAACGAGGAAGTTGGTCCAATGCTGGTACAGCGTACGACAATATTCGACGATCTCTCCGACCACTACCACAAGCCCCTAATACTTCATCCTCAACTGTGAATACTGGCGGTTACCGACATTCACGAAGCCAAACAATCGATGAATCACGCCCATGGAAGGACTATCGACCCGGCACCCCCGAATCCCGTCAAGTCCATCTTAAAGAAAATCAGTCTCCGCGCCACCAAACACACCCCTACGAACCACAGAGTCCCCCACCGCCTACCTCTCCTCGCAACTGGTCTCCTGTGCCTGGGACATCGCGTCCTTCGTCCCCGCAAAAGACAGTGCTACACAGTGCTCATACTCCGCAGCTGACTGCTGCACTCTCCGCACCCGAACTTGAAACATTGCAAAAATCATCTACGGGTCATCTCAGAACCCTGTCGAAGTTTGCACAGTCCGGCGAAAACGAGTTCAGCGCCGCCGCAGCTTCTGTGGTGGGCTTACAAGGCCGTCGACGCCTTAAGCGAGCAGACTCAGTGGCTGGAAGAAATGGCGCAGTATCTCCCGAAAAACCGAAGGTGTCATCATGGGCGGCTGGGAATTGGATGGACCAGCAGCGACAATTCATCCAAGCATATGAGTATTTGTGCCATATCGGAGAAGCCAAACAGTGGATTGAAGATGTCATCCAAAAGCAAATCCCGCCAATCGTTCAGCTGGAGGAAGGACTGCGAGACGGCGTCACTTTGGCGGAGGTGGTGCAGGCAATGTATGCGGGCAAAGCCCTTCGCATTTTCCGACACCCCAAGTTACAATATCGCCATTCAGACAACATCGCCTTGTTCTTCCGATTCCTTGATGAGATTGAGTTGCCAGAGCTGTTTAGATTCGAACTCATCGATTTGTATGAAAAGAAAAACATACCCAAGGTGATACACTGTATTCACGCGTTGTCATGGTTGCTCTTCAAAAATGGCATGCTGGACTTCCGCATGGGTAATTTGGTTGGTCAGCTTGAGTTTGAACACCACGAACTTGAGAAAACCCAAAAAGGACTGGACAAGGCCGGCGTGAGCATGCCTAGCTTTGCAGGTATGGCTGCAAACTTTGGCGCGGAGCCTGAACCAGAACCTGAGCCCGAGCCCGTCGAATCCGAGGAGGATCGTATTGACCGAGAAATGCACGAAAACGAAGCCTCAATCTGCGATTTCCAGGCCCAGGTCAGAGGAGCTATGATGCGTTTGAAGCTTGGCAACACGATGAACGACCTGTGGGATTTCGAACCCCTCCTCATCGAGCTACAGTCACGTCTGCGTGGAGATTGGGCACGGCAAATTAGTGAATACCGACTAAGCATGCTCCAATTTGCAGTTGGGTTGCAGGCTATCAGCCGAGGTTTCATTGTACGTCGCACTCAAAAAGGCGACAAGCAATGGCGCCAATCTCAGGAAACAGATGTTCTGCAACTCCAGAGCCTGATTAGGGGGTCTAGGGCTCGCGCACAGGCTAGTCACCTACAAACTCGTGCACGACGAGAAGAGTCGGGCATCAAGCAGATCCAGGCCGCGATAAGAGGTGCATTGCAACGCATGAATGTTGGTGACCAATACGAAGAGTCGCGACATGCTGAAGATAACGTGACATCACTTCAAGCTTTCATCCGCGGTGCCTTGCGACGCAAGCAGATAGATGCTGAGGCTCAAGAGCTGAAACGGGTGGGCAGCTCTGTCAAGTCGGTGCAAGCAGCCATCCGTGGTACCTTGCAACGAAGAATGATGAATGCCCAGTCTCATGAGGTGAAGGAAGTCGGCAGTTCTGTTAAGTCGCTCCAAGCTGCCATCCGTGGTACCTTGCAACGCAAACAGATGGATGCTCAGTTTCATGAACTGAAACAAGTCGGCAGTTCTGTCAAGTCACTGCAAGCTGCCATCCGCGGTACTTTGCAACGAAGGCAGATGAATGCTCACTCCCACGAGGTGAAACTAATTGAAACACCCGTCAAGTCGCTGCAGGCGGTCATTCGAGGATCGATTGCCCGTCAAAACTTGTCTCAGATGAAGGTTCTCCTCAACAACGAAGCGTCTCAAATTGTCTGCATCCAATCAACTATCAGGGCGCTGATTGCCAGAGAACGCCAAACTCTGCTGCTGGAGGCATTAGAAGAGACAGAAAATGAATGTGCTGCATTGCAAGCTATCGCGCGGGCCGCTGCTGTAAGAAAAAACGCCTCAGCCATTCGTTCCGAGCTTGCGGAACATGTATTGCCAGTGATCGATCTGCAGACTATCCTCAGAGGACAAGCTTTGAGAGAATCATTGGATGCCCAGAGGACCGCATTACTCGATGAAGAACCTTCCATCTTGGAACTACAGTCCCGGATCCGCGGCGTCATCCACAGGCAGTATCTATTTGCACAACGAGATGAACTGGAGCAGCACGAAGATGCCATTGTTGATCTTCAGGCCCTTGCCCGTGCTGCTGTCTCACGAATGAAGGTGGGGGACATATTGTCCGAGCTTGAGGACAACGAGGAAGAAGTTGTTCAACTCCAATCTTTAAGTCGGGCAATGCTTGCACGAGTTGAAGTTGGCGAGATCCTGACCGATCTTGAGGTAGAGGAGGACTTTATCACAGACTTCCAAGCACGCATCAGAGGACACATTGTATGCAACCGCTTTGAGGAAAGACGTCAACATTATAATGAGAACATGGAGAAGGTCATCAAGGCTCAGAGTGTTATCCGAGCCCGCATTCAAGGCCAAGCTTATAAGAGCCTGACTAGCGGGAAGAACCCACCCGTCGGAACAGTCAAGGGGTTCGTTCATCTTCTCAACGACAGCGATTTTGACTTTGACGAAGAGATCGAGTTCGAGCGCCTGCGAAAGGCGGTTGTTCAACAAGTGCGACAAAACGAGCTTGCTGAACAATAC